AATGTTCTGGAGGGTGTCTACAAGTCCCTCCAACACAGAAGCGCTGTATAACTTGACACTTTTTGAAACCCCAGAATTTGTCGTGAATGGTTTCATATGAACCCAGTAATTGTGAGTGCTAACACTTTGAAGTATAGTTTTGAAATCTTATACATCCATTTTACCATCTCTTGGCAAAGAATATAATATACATAGAAGGATATGAGGTATGCTTTTCTTTTTATTAATTTGATCCTGAACAGTAAAGCCAAAAGCATTGGGCATATGTCATCATCAATGAATTATTTGCCTGATAAAATAAACACATGAATCATGGGATGGTAATTAGAGGGGTTATGAAAATGGCATGCCCTGACCACCATCAGCTGTCTTTCTTTGACAAAACCCAAAGTGCGGACATTCTGAGTGATGCCAAATTCAGGAGATGCTTATTTACTCTACAGAAGAATCAACATGCTTCCATTCGGCTCTCGTTCCACTCGTTCAGTGGGTCAGCAAGTGTGAGCCACTGAGCGCCAAGATCTGTTCTAGGACCTGGGAGTGTAGAATGAATTACTGCATGCCTTCTGTTTTTAAGAATCTCACAGTCTTAGAAGGAAATGGAGAAGGTGTGATTGCAATATGTTGTTGTAATGCTGATGCACAAGTATAAATGGACTGACAACGCAACCCCAAGAGCCCTTGAAATAAGGAGGTCCCTCAGCACATGTAAGTCTTTACCTTTCCAACTTCTTTGCGATGCTTTCTTTTAGGTGAGATACCACTGTACTCAACCATACTTAGCCTTTTTCTCAAACACATTCAGCATGTAACCTTAAGAAGGAGCCCCCAAAAGTGGATGTTGAGAACATTCTCTGTGTGTTAACCCTCCTAAGGGCTTGGGGAAGGGTTTTACATTTTTTTTATTGAGCTCAATAAAAAAATATAGCATTTTTACTATTTATTTTTCTACCGACACAAAGTCAGGTTTGCTATCAATATTACTATGAACTGGGTACTTTTCAAAATGGACTCATTTTATGGTGACATCCAACTCCAGGGGAAAAGCAACATGCATACCACTATTTTTCTAATGAGGAATCTGAAGGCCAGGGTAGCAACGCCACTTGCTAGCCTGAGGACATGCAGCTGGCAGGTCAGAGGCTGGGTGTCTCCCAATCAGTTTTGCTCCATGCCCCCAGCTCTATCTGTGACCCTGTGCTACCAAGGGTTACATGCTTGATCTTAGGCACCTAACTTCTCATGGTGAGAGCCATGGGAAGAATCTGCAAGGTAAGGGGTAGCACCGAAGTTCTCAGTTCCCCACTTTTCACTATGATGCATAAATAGCAAACCTGGGAACTTCTGGAGTTCACACGGACACTACAATTTCTCTAGTAGTGGTTGTACTTGCAATGTCTAGGGATAGATAGAAAAGAAGCAGGCGAGTGGAAGAATGCACACCACAGGGTTTAATGTGAGCACCCGTACACACACATTGTGTACAAAGGTAAAAGACAATTTGGCAGAGTAAAGGAAGGGTATGTTTATAAGTCAGACTCTTGTGAATACTGCCGTTGTCATCTTCTAGGTCAAGTTGAACCAGTGCTTAGCCATGCCGAACAAACAAAACTTCCATTATATAAAATAAAAAAACCTATGGATTTTATAGAGCTGCTGTAAACACAGTCATATGGAAAGTACCTTTTCTGGTATCTGTTGCAACTCAAGAGTTTTCCTTTAGAGGGGGATTGCTGGGATAAACATTTGGAGCTGGAAAGTCCAAATAACCTAAAGCAAGAATCACCCTCTCTGATCTCCAGCTTTTCCTGTATTCAACAGGAATAATAATAGCTAGTCTCCCAATCTTACTTGGTTCATGTGAGACTCAAATGGGATCAGATTCATGAAAGGACCCTGGATAATTGGAAATTGCTATTCGGTTGTTGGATGCTATATTATTAACATTATAGAATTTCTCGGTATGAGCGGGCTATCCTTGCTGTTGTTTTTGGATTTTCAGTGAAGTCATTATGAGCATAACGATTACAAAAGGAATGAGGCTAATTTACTACTAATGTAACGCTAGTTATTTTTCCAGCCCAGAGTTTTAGCAACAAGAGAAAGTAGGGTCTCACCTGTCTGCCAACAAAGGAGTCTATTCTACATTCATTCCCTATCAGATTATGCGTGGAAGGAAGGCCTTTTATTGTAAATGGGCGGTCTGGGAAAAATGCTCCTGTGGGTCTGTTGGAGAATAAACTTCAAGAGGCTAAATCCTTTTAACACACCCAGACTTGGCTCCTCTGCTTACACAGAGGATGGCAGGAGCACAGCAGGCAGAAGGTCCTCTTGCCAAGTGCAACAGTCCCAAGGGACAATAGGTGGTCATGTTGGGAGAGACGGAAGACAAGCTCAGGGTATCCCAGGACTTCAAGGCTATTCCCACACCCCTCCCCCCATGCCACTGTCTGCTGGTGGCTAGAAGGGGGGTCCAGCTACTGGCATAGCAACAGCAGCGGTAGCAACAAGAAAAAGAAGAAGAAGAAGCCTTAAAAAAAAGGTGCTCCATAGAACAATGAGCAACCTTTATGAGAGATTACAAAACTAGCCACTGCCTGGCCATTAAATTTTAAAAATAAAATGTGGTATGTGGGTGGGTGGGTGGGTGGGGTGTGTATTTGTGCCACAGCATGTCTGTGGGGTCAGAAAATGTGAGGAAGTTGGCTGTTTTCCTTTTACATGTGGGTCCTGGGAATCAAACTCGGGTCCTCAGGCTTGACGGCAAGTGCCTTTACCCACGGATCCCTCTCACCTGCCCCTGTATAGCCATTACAGTTCAAGCATTTTTACCCCTCATTTTAAGCTAGCACTTTGGCATGATCTCAGTTTACATGCTGAGACCTTAAAGCTGAGAAGGGATAAATTATTTGCCAAAGCTGGGCAGTAGCAGTGTCATCGGCCACCAATACTGTCATGCTTCCTAAATTAAGTCACAGATAGCTACTCACAGTATGGGATAGGATGCTTTCTATCATTTTGGATTCCAAGATCCCCTTTCAATGAGGGCTCCTATCTTTGGGGATCATACTTGGCACAGACATAAGCATCACACTGGAATAAGGACCATTGTCTTTACTGTTCACTTGGAAGGATATCAGAAACTTCAAATGCACTGGTGAGAAACTGGCGAGAAAGTAGAATGGTGAAGATGTTTAACACTTTGGGATAACTTTAAAAGTTGTCATATGTTTGTTAGCCATTTGTAGATCTTTCGAGAATGGTGCATTTGACTCCTTTGCTCACTGTCATTCTGGGCTAATCTTTAAGTGGAAACACTTAGTAGGTTTTAAAAGTTAAAATCTCTTTCACTTTTAGTAGACCTATTTGAGAGTGGTACATTCAATACATTCAAACTTCGGCAAAATATTTGACCAAGTGTTTTGTCTGGTGCATGACATCCTTCTGGGTGATATGGAGGGTGGAGTGGTAGCAGCATTGAGTGGATTTATAATTTGCCACATGCCTTTGCCTAATATTGTTAAACAGCAAATCAAAATGAAGCTGTAGAGGGCTACACTTTGGGGGAACTGCCTGTTTCACTTTGCCAGTGATGATGATTTCCTTATCCTTTTTGAAGAGGGCCGATCCTAGGACGCATCAACAACGGAAATTTATAGATCAATACTAGAATTTGCATTCTAGCTGAAGAAAGACCTTCCTCATAAAACCCATGATTTACAAAGTTGAAACAGGCAGTGCTGTGACTCCCTCCCATCCCTTTAAAGGATAGTAATACATTTCATTGGCAAGTTCAAGGTTCAAGTGGAGCACACACAGCATGATGAAAATGCCCTAAGGACATCATACATAGCCTTTGGGTTAGCCACATAGCAGTTTCCATTGCCAATCCTGGGAAATAACCAAGCACACCATGAACTACTTCTTCCTGCCCTGGTTACAAAACACTAAATGATGTGTTCTACTCTAGAGATGTGTCTTCTAATTTGAAAAAGCAAGAGCCATCCAGAGGCAGAGGATAGGTAAGGAAAAGGATAGGAGGAGCCAAGGAGAAAGCCAAATTAGGATGAGATAGACATTTCAGATCTGTAGTACTGGGGGTAGGACCAGGGCCTGTGCATGCTTGCCAAGTACTCCAACTTTTCACTGTACCCTCAGCTCACCAGTTTTGGTTTCTATGTTACAGAGGCAGATCCAGAAGTGCTGGGGACCACCCCACTTCAGAGCAGAACAAGTGCTTTTTTCCTAAAGGACTTATTGGCAGTGTTTACACAGAGGCTGGTGAGTCTCATGGGCACTCCCAATTTTATAAATTTGACTCCATCCTAAGTGTCCTCAGACAGCCAGATCCACTCCTAGTCATTTTCTATCCAGTTTCATGCCAAGGCTGACTTGTGTGGGCACTATCAATGGTGGCCCCTGATCTCTGGCTTCCACAGTTGGTTGGAGGTAACAGCGATGGTGGATTCAGGGAAAGCATGTAGGGAACCAGTTTCTTCCTTCCCCGGCTCCATGTCCTTGATAACACACCCATTTAAACAATTATTCAAACTCTCCTATTCTGTTTGTGCTATTTGCTTCCTGCCAGAAGCACGAATGACTGCTACCAAGTCAATAGCAACCATAATTGTGGAATATCAGAATTCTATCATCAAAGTGAGGCAATGAGCAGTTCATATTGGCATGTGTCTGAAGAGTGATGGATTTTCCAAAGTTTATTTTAAGAGCAGCTACACAGTGGGTCAACAATGTAGCATGGGCATGGTTAAAAATCAACAGGGCCTGGAGAGATAGCTCAGTGGTTAAGAGCATATACTGTTTTTGCAGAGGACCTTAGCTCAGTTCCAAGCACCTGTGTGGGATGGCTCACAACCATCTTTAACTCCAGTTTTAGGGAATCTGATGCCCTTTCCTAGACTCCATGGGCACTTGCACTCACACATTACATCTGCAGACCGACATACATGCACAGATTTACCCATAATTGAACAATAAAGCTAGTGCCTACTTCGGCAGCCCATATACTAAAATCGGGATGATACAGAGAAGATTAGCATCATCCCTGCACAAGGATGACATGCAAATTCAAAAATGCTTCCATATTAAAAACAAAACAAAAAACAAAAACAACAAAAACCGAGTCTTAAACTAAACCACCATCACCACTACCAACAACAAAAATACCTTGAAAGTGAATTGTTTTGTGACTAAAAATAGAACATGGCTGAATTTTGGTTCACTGATGTTAATGTCTTAGTTGAAAATACATGAAAACTAGAAACTAAAGTACATTTTAGAAATCTGTAGCACAAAAATAGCTCTTCTAGAACTCTACAGACTACAAAAGGTTTGTCTCCATCCCTCGCCACCATCCGGCTCGCTGTAATGTTCAATTTTGGTTTAAAGAAATGGCTGAATGACAAATTGCCTCGCAACAGGTCTTCTATGAAATACAGGAGAAGGCTGCTGACAGAGAGAGTTAAAAACTGCAGTGTTCGCAATCTGGAAAACATCTGCCCTGCCCAGAGTGGTAAACTACCATACTGCAGAAAATGGTCTGTGACAAAGCAGAACCCAAGAGGGTGTTTGGGAAGTGATGGGACAAGTCAAGACTATTCAGGTACAGAAACCAACAATGTGTTCTTTGGCAAATTGTTGCAAGCCAAGGTGCTAAAAGGAAAAGCAAAAGCCACGGGCCAGCTATAACCACTCTAAATGGAGCCACGTGGCTCACTACTTTTCCCACAGTGGGCACTGGTGAAAGCTGTACTGCCATTCAGGAGCTGAGGTTGTCTGGTAGAGGAGAGACCTTTATACACAAGGAGAAATAGATAACACCCAGCAGATTTGATGCAGTAAAACAAAGGGTCGAGTTATGAACATGAAAACAGTAACACAAGCAGGGCTCTGTTTCCCCATACACCACTCCCCCAAACAGCAAGCTCCTACCAACCTGAGCCAATAGAGGGACCCAACCAGTGGAAAATGGACAAAGAAGCCAGGCAGCATACAGTGGAGGGGAAAGGCTAGACCTTTCAGAGGGGCACTCTCAGACGTTGGAGGTACCACAGCTCTACTCCAGAGTTGAGCAGAAAAGCAGTCTCAAGGACAACAGTGACACTGTGCAACCAGCTGTGTCCAGGTGCCAGGTGGAGAGAACACTGACAACATTTTTTTCAGTTTAGTTTCTGACTAGTTTCCATCTCACCCAAAGCTTGTGATGCAAAAGGTGGCCAGGGACTAGAGATGAGAAACAAACAGGATCTACAGAGGACAATCAGTTTTGACAACTGGACACATCAGGGGAACAGAGATAGGACTCGGTGGGAAAGAGCAAAAGTCCATGTCAGGGCACTTTATATCTACAGACTCCTTCCTACATCCTTGGAGTTTGAATAAGAGGATCAATGGATAGCATCCCAAAGCACAGAGATCAGGATGACGAAAGAATAAAGGAAAATGGTTAGAGAATGATCATTCCTCCAAAATAAGCCTGAGTTTGTTCTTGAAACAGGTTTGGCTAGGTGGAAGGGCAGGAGGGATCCAGTGACCTGCTTTTGTCTTTGCAGTAGGGAAATGTCTCATTTGCTTCTATCATTAAAATGGAGATGATCCCTTATCTTGTGGTTATAGAGGAAATGAAATTAATCAATGCAACATATTTTATTGAGCATCAACTGAGTCTTGCTGGTGTAAGAATCTAGCAAGAGATTCAACTGGTAGCAGCCATCATGATAGTGCCAAGCACATATTAGCTCACCAAGATGGCAGACATGGTGATGTGATAATAGGGCTCCATGTGGTTCTGCCCTTCTGATTCGATTCCCATACTAGATTGTATGTTTCTGTAGGGTGTGGCCTATCCAGTTCATTCACAGTCTGAAGCATAGAAAGCTCAGTGCAGGCTGGTTTCAGTGAGTGACAGTCTTTCTAATGTTACAACTGCCTGGGACATGAAATACAAATGGGGAGGACTAGAGCTGAGGCCTTGCTCATATTATCTTTTGTTTCTTAAAAAAGAAAGAACATTTAGGGTAGCCTCTCTGCCATTGCCTAGATTGTCAGTTGGTGTCATCCTTGTAGATCTCTGGAACTTTCCCTAGTGCCAGATCTCTCCTTGGACCTATGATGGCTCCCTCTGTTATGATATTTCTCATCCTGCTCTCCTCTATTCTTCCCCCAACTCAAACTTTCTGCTCCTCCATATCCTCCTCTCCCCTCCTCTTCTCCTCCTCACACTCTGCCAGCTCCTTCTCCCCTACCCTCATGCTCCGAATTAGCTTAGGAGATCCTGGCTCTTCCCATTCTCTGGGGACCATGCATTTTTCTCTTAGAGTCCTTCTTGTTTCCTAGTTCCTTTGGTGAAGAGGATTGTAGGCTGGTAATCCTTTGTTCTATGTCTAAAATTCATATATGAGTGAGTACATACCATGTTTGTCTTTTTCTGACTGGGTTACCTCACTCAGGATAGTTTCTTCTAGTTCCATCCATTTGCCTGTGAATTTCAAGATTTCATTTTTTTCCCCGCTGAATAGTACTCCATTTTGTAAACGGACCACATTTTCTCTATGCATTCTTCAGCTGAGGGGCATCTAGGTTGCTTCCAGGTTCTGGCTATTACAAACAATGCTGCTATGAACATGGTTGAACATATGTCCTTGTTGTATGGACATGCATTATTTGGGTATATACCCAAGAGAGGAATGGCTGGATTTTGAAATAGACTGATTCCCATTTTCCTGAGCAACCTCCATACTGATTTCCAGAGTGGTCTTACAAGTTTGCACTCCCACCAGCAATGGAGGAGTGTTCCTTTTTCTCCACATCCTCTCCAGCATAGATTGTCATTGGTGTTTTTGCTTTTAGCCATTCTGGCCGGTGTAAGATGGTATCTCAGAGTTGCTTTGAGTTGTATTTCTCTGATGGCTAAGGATTTTGAGCACTTTCTTAAATGTCTGTCAGCCATTTTAGATTCCTCTGTTGAGAATTCTCTATTTAGTTCTGTGCCCCACTTTTTAATTTCATTGATTGGTGTTTTGGTGGCTAGCTTCTTGAGTTCATTGTATATTTTGGAAATCAGCCCTCTGTCAGATGTGAGGTTGGTGAAGATCTTTTCCCATTCTGTGAGCTGTCTTTTTGTCTTACTGACTGTGTCCTTTGCCTTAAAGAAGCTTCTCAGTTTCAGGAGGTCCCATTTATTAATAGTAGATGTCTGGGAAGCCATCATGAGACTGATCCAGACCCCTGAAAATGGATGTCAACCAGGAGGCCTCAGCACCCTATGGAGCCTCTGGTAGTGGATCAGTATTTTTCCCTGGTGTAAATGGGACCATCCCACGTGAAGGGATGCTCTTTAGGTCTGGACACATGGGGGAGGGCCTAGGCTCGGCCCAACATGATGTTGTGGAATTTGAGGAGCCCCCGTGGAGGGCCCTACCTTCTATGGGGAGTGGAGCGGGGGAGGGGTCTGTGGGGGGGAGGGGAGAGAGGGAGAAGGGATTGACATATGAAATTATAATTTTGTAAAAATTAAATAAAAAATTCAAAAAAAAAGAAAGAGCAAAAGCTTCCTATAAGAATTCTCTAGGCACATGCACCTAGTTCTGCGCAGACAAATCCCAGAATCCTAAGGAGCTGCATTAGGCTTAACTTAATTTTATATCCTATTCTAGGGTGAAAATTCACAGAGAAAATAGTCGTCAGCAAACTTGGAGGTTTGGTATTTTGGTATTTTTTACAAATGCCAGTATTTTCAACTTAAAGGTTACCCTGTTTCTTTTAGCCTTACTTAGTCGAAACTAAAACAAAAATTGTTGGTTGGAAAATGAGAAATCCCATGATAATTTTGAAATTTCCTTAGCTTTGACCAAACTAGAGGATGCAAGAACATGCCCTTGAAATTCTATCCTGCTTGAGATGGAGAAGGAAAATGACTCATTTCCAATCTGTTCCATACCATACAGCTCCTTGCAGGATGAAGTTATTACAATATTTTTTTTACTTATTTGTAAGTGTATATATACACACATATCATGTATGTACATGTATGAGGAGGTCAGAGCACAGCTTGCAGGAGTCTTTCCACCATGTAAATCCCAGGAACCCGGTGGCAAGAGCATTTGCCTTCTGAAATACCTTGTCAGCTCAAAAGTTAATAGCTGTCTGTCTGTCTGTCTATCTATCTATCTATCTATCTATCTATCTCTCTATCTATCTATCTATCTATCATCTCCACATATACTCACATATATAAACCACAGAACTGAGAAGGCTGACTGCAGGTTAATACATGGGTCTACTTTGTTTTAGATATGTGACCTTGGACAAGGTATTTAACATCTGTGAATCTCAGTTTTCTTATGTATGAAAAACAAAGCCTCCCTACTCAGAGGTTATAAAATTACTTATTCATGAAATGATGTATAAAAACCCTTATGGTTTTTGGCTTATTCTAATGATAATAAATGGCTAATGTATTACTATTTAATATTGCTATTCTATAGTCTACAATTATGTAGTATCAAGAAAGGTTCATTATTCTGGCACTGGCATTGTTAATACCATTCTTTATGTGGATATTTTGGGTATCTTAGAGCACCTAATAGTACCCCTGGCATCTACCTAATATATGCCTGTACCATCCTGCGCCTATGACCATAATGATAACCAAAATACCTGAAGACTTAACCCAGTGTTCTCTGGGTGGCAAACTTGTCCCTGGTTGAGAAACATTAGTGTAGAACAAAGAGCAATGGTCCTAGGTAAGGGAGACTTGGTTCCTGTTAACAATTTGGTGGATTGGTGTGGGTCCGCCCCTGTTGTGAGCCTTGCTTCCTCAGAGGGTAAGATGGAACTGAGTGCTGTGGGGTAGATAAGCTGCAGAGTGCTTGTCTAGCATGTCTGAGGCCCTGGCTTCGATGCTGAGCACTGGAGAAGGAAAGGAGATAGAGTGGGAGGGACTAGTGTTGGAGAATTCTCTTTTATCATTTATGGCTTTCTTTTTTTGTGAAAATGAAACAAAAAACATTTTGGGTTCTCCATAGCAGTTACAAAGTAGGGTTCCATCTGAATGCTCTCTGTTAAAGGTGGGTTGCACAAGCGCTTATG